CAAATTATAACCAGAAGGTTATGTTTGACTGGTTTAAGGTTTTTACCAAATTTTAGTTATAACCGATTCTCAATCGGTCAAGTTTTGATTATTGAGATTCAAAGACCAAAAATCAATATAGTTTTCAGCCCATCTGAAGTTCTGATATTTCAGATTGATTGAACATTGAAGGCAAAGTGCATGAGTTAAATTTTGTTTTTTTGTTTTTTTGTTTGTTTTTTAAAATTTTTTTCTCTTTATGAGATGAAGAAATGATCTTAGGGTTAAAATAATTTTATATTTTATTCTGTGATTTCCGTGGGTGAAAAAGTTTGTCATTGATATTCCCTTTTTATTCACAAGAAAAGATTTTTTTGCTTTTCATTTACTGCTGAGAGATTTACTGCCGAGAATTGTATATATGTAAAATAATATACTGTATAAATCAGAGATTACGACAATTATTTTCTAAGCTAACAACATTTATGTACTTCTAAAGATAATTAGGATTGAAAGCCAAAACTTCAATTGTTGGTCATTACTATAACTGATCTCGTTTAATGGTATATGAGATAACATATTCCTGAACAAGTCTTCTCTCCTTGTATTATCTTATCATAATTTCTTCTTTTACTATAGCTGACCACTTCACTCTAAACAAAAGATTGCATAGCTTCTCCCTTCTTCGCTTAAGCATTTTTGAGGTCATCACATTTTGAATCTTCTGGTTGTCATATTTCTACCACAATCTGAAATTCATTGCATTTCAATTTAGAACGAATGAGAAAATTGTAAAATCATAAAGCTCAAAGATGACAAGACGAAAGCATAGCTCACATGGTTAATTATCGACTTACCTAAATTTCATAAATTTTACAACGGTCGCCATCAAATAGGTGCATGCTTCAAATATCGTACGCAATGTGTTTCCAAATATGAAAGCAAACACAAATGTTGAGAGCTAATAAAGAGAAGGGATTTGAGGATATTTCTCCCCTCTCATGCTTAGTATCACCTTTCTCTTCAACCCTTCTTAGAAGGACAAAGAGTGTTAGCACATTAACAAAGCTAACGAAATAACCCAACAAACATTATTAAAAGGGAAATAAAAGTAGACCATGTTACTTAGTTCAGGATTCTCGAATCAAAAACTCATAAGTAGTTTAAAAAACCGCTAAATTAAGTATTGTTTGGAAACACAATAAACATTTGATTGCAATCGAAGAGAAGCTTCTGCCAAATAAACCTCAGGAAAAAACAAACTATTCACAAAAGGCACTAAGCAAACTAATGAATGGCAGCAAAGTGCAAATAATATAGATGATACATCATAATTAAACAAATATAGCCACATTTGATTACCTTTTTTTCCCAATTCCGTCGATTCAAACTATGCAAAAGTCATTTCCGTATCTTATCCTGTTTTTTTTCTTCATTTTTTTGGATGAATATTCATGGTGTCACAAAGAGAATTGTGGGCTAATTAGAAAGTGTGTAAGAATGCTATATAATTAAGAAAAAATAGTATTGCAGATTAAAATCACCCTTGAGATGAGTGTGTGTGTATATATATACACCTATAAGCAACTATAAATAGATAAAAATAGGAGCTAATATCTGTCAAAATATTTCAAAATTGTTTTAGTTAGAGTAATATATTCCGGTTAAAACTCAACTCCCACGTACTTTTGACCAATTTTATAGCAACCGTTAGGATGACTTTTATTCCTGCGCTTAAATTGTTACTTTAAGTTTTCCTTTTTATTAAAAAAATTATTTAATATGGTAAGACTCATATAATAAGACTTAATTATTTGGTAAATTTTTAAAATTTAGAGTAAAATTTGTGCTTAAACCTAAGCAAACGTAGTTCTATCACTAAGAAGTGAATTACATTTCATTAATCATTTATAAAGAGGTAAGACCTATCCCTATCAATGATTAACTCCACGGAATGCCAAAGAGCATTATGATAAAACTATTACTTATTTTCTAAAGCACTACCCTTAAGCAATCTAAGATGCAGAATCAATATGGTTTTGCCTGCTGGGGTCACTAAAAGAATGAAAGACATAAATTGAAACTTTGAAGAAACCACAAACGTATCACGATGTAAGATGATTTTTTCCTTTAGGAAGGTGCTGTCTCCTATTTGATACACTTCAAGAAATGTAGGTGGTTACCCCTCAAAAGTTGTCTATTACTGTAATGAAATGTAACGTTATATTATACAATAAAAAAATATATTAATATAAATACGTTGTTGAAATAGGTCTGAAACTTTTGAAGTTACTAATTATCAGTTATAATGCATGAAGGCTTGAAAAGGTTTTGTAATATCCGGCATTTATTTTATTTTATTTTATTATTTTTAAATAATTTTATTTAAGCCCTTAAAGGATTTAAATGTAAGGAGAAGGAATTAAGAGGTTTAACTATAAAGGAAGCAAGAGTGAAAGGACTAACCAAATATTATAACATTTTTTTTTACTAAAACCTAAATAGAAAACGGACTAGGGGTTGGCGGAAAGGCTGGAATGCTGCCCACTTCTGAAGGTGCTGTCGCCATTTGTGAAGCATAAGAAAGGGGCTTCCGTCCGATGGATTGTCGGATTAGTCAAATTGAGGAAATTTTAGGGTAAGTTTCCCAATTATGTGATGGTTTTGTTCTTAAATCTAACTTTATAATTAAGAATGTGAATTGGAAGAGGAATCGAGAGAATTTTGGAACTCTATTTCATGTCAGATTCGATTCTAGCAATATGGGCTACGATTTGTAGATCTTTTCAATTCTAACAAAGAAGGTAGTAGGAAAGTTTTAAATAATTCAAGAGGCAACGTTGAATGAAAAATTGATTAATAATTCGAGGTAAGTTGTTATATCCTCTAGTATTATTTTTAAAAGGTTTGTTTTATTGAAATTTATTTTACCTTTTTCAGCGTATTTTATATGATTTTATTTGGTTATTATGTCTTAAGAATAAGAATATTTTATACTGAAATGAGATGAATATTGATCAAGCATTTTGAGTGTGGACTGTTTTCTATCGAAGAGTGTGGTTTATTAAATTGGAAATAATTTTTCTTTTGATATTGGGTTTTCATGTTCTTGGTTGGCTGGATAAATTAACCC